CATCCATGTAGTGGGTGCAGCGGAGGGCACAAGGCACCCAGGCACTCCCACAGCACCCCACTGAATGTTGGTGCCTCACTGGATGGCCCAGGGGATGAGCAGACAGAAGGACACTTTGCCAGGAGGAGGTGGCAGGGCAGGCTGATGCCAAGAGGTGGCAAAGAGATGGAAGGGGCAGTCAGGCGCTGCCCTGCTCAGGAGCTGGTAGAATAGAGGAAGGCTGCTGCTTCTAGCTTGCAGAGGGGCGCATGCAACAAGGGCTGCTCCTGGGACCATGACAGGAGAAAGCCCAACTGCCTCCAGCCTCCAGCCATGGGTGCCTACGTGGAGAAGTGAGGCTGGAAGCAGCCCTGCTCCCAGGCAAACACTGCTGGGGGCTGCAGGCATCAGAGCCACCCCCAAATGCTGACAGCCAGAGTCCAGGCCTGGGGGCAGTGGGAGCCAGGGCCACTGTGTACTGGGGCTGAGAACAGAATGATGAGGCTTTGGTGCAGGGTGAACGGCCAGTGAAACATGCTGGCCTTAAAGTACTTGTGCCCTCCTGCCCTGCCAGGCCACGTGGCAGGTCCTCACATGGCCTGCCCCTGTCCCCAAGCAACTGTGATGGCTCCAAGCAGCAGCTTCTCATCCTACACTGCTCCATCAGGCACCCACACGAGGGCATGGGCTTCCTTAGGGAGGGGGCAGCCCTGCCATCAGCAGAGCAGCAGGGATGGAGCCCTGCAGCTGGGCACAGCCACAGGACAGGCAGGGATGCAGGGCCTGGCAGAGTACACCCCTGGGGAAGGGCCCCATGAGAGAAGCAGCCCAAAGAAATGTGTTTGCAAGCACAGATGCAGCTGATGGACACAAGAGCTCTGGCTGGAGGTGGTGGGGAAGCTGGGGGGAGGTTGACTGGGCACTGTGCTCCCACAGACCCCTAACATTCTTCATCAGTCCCTCATCCTTGGCTGTCACTAACAGACTGCCCAACACAAGAGGAGCAGCAGTGCCCAAGGCCACCTCTGTCTCCACCTGATCCCAGCCAGCCACACAGGCTGGAGCAGTGATGAGGGCTTGGGTTCCTCCCCAGGGTCCCCCTTGCGCCCATCACCATCCCCTGCACCCTGCCTGCGCCCCGGGGCCGGTGCTCCCTCCACACAGACGCACCACACATACAGCATCACAAACAACCATGCATTAGAAACTGAAATGCTGCTGGGAGGCTTCAGGGCTGCGTGGTTCGCTCCTGTGCGGCTGCAGCCCCATGGCACGCACGGCTCCATCCGTCGCACACAAAGAGTCCCGTGGGGTGAGTCTAGCCGAAAATGCCGCCAAAGGTGGAGGCAATGACGATACCCAGGATCACGCAGCAGATTATGATCATGATCTTCTTCTGCTCAGGTGTCCCAGCACCAGGAGGGAGAGAGGGAAGAGGAGACTGTGAGTGTTGGGGGCAGGCTGGCCCTGAGAGCTGGGGGCTGCGATCTGCCCTGTTCCTGTTTGTCCATGGTGGGCTCTGAGCAGCACTGTGGGAGCCAGAGGGGCTCCAGCAGCCCTGGGGCAGGGATGGGCACCCCAGCTCCCCCTTCAGCCCTGGGCTGGCAGAGCCAAGCTGGTGGCCACCGGGTCCACAAGCTGCCAAGCTGCTACAGGACAAGGTGTGGGGACTGGGACAGGCAGCTGGCACTGCGCTCAGGGTCAGAGCTGGACCATGCCTTTTCTCTATTTTTTTTTGGCAAGGGATGTGGCGCTCACAGCAGGCCTGGCCCACAGGGTCCACCCTCTCTATTTTCCTCCCCTCCAAGTAGCACCCCTGCCCTATCGCTCATCATCGGTGCTCATGCAGCCTGTGCTGGGGAGCTCCGACTCAGCTGGTGGCACCGGCAGGACCCATGCTGCACCCAGTGGTGTGGGGTAAAGCAGTGCCCAGGCACTCCTGAGGGTGTGCCATGCTGCCTGCTCCTCCATGCAGGCAGTGGGGCAGGCAGTGGTGCCAGGCAGGGGCCTGCCCCTGGGATGGAGGTGTCAGCAGTGTAAGCAGGGGAAGACAGGCCCCAGCCAGTGCCATGACTCACCCGTCTGGCTTTGCTCTGGTACTTCACCGCTTTTTTGGTGTCAGACACAGCCCGCTCCACATAGTCCACCGAGTGCTCCACGTTGTACTCGATGCGGTCAATCATCTCGCCCTGCATAAGTGGGGACAGAGCCCATGCACCCATGTGTGCACAGACATGAGCTCCTTCCTGCTCCTCAGCACCGTGCAGACGTCACCCTGCCCAGCAGCCCTGCACGGGAGACAGAGGGACCGTCAGTTACCTGCAGGCAGTAGGTGCCCTGAGGTGCCCTGGGGTGGGGTCTCCAGACCATGGACTCTGTCCCAGAGGGCTGGGATCTCTGTGCACATCCCAGCAGGGAGGCAAGCAAGGGTGATGGTCAAGGGGGTTCTCCAGCCCAGTCCTGGCCTGGTAGCCACCTTGTCTGACGCCTCAGGTAACATCAAAGCCACAACAGGATCTACACTGACACTGTGCTGCACACTGCTGAAACTGGAGGCATGGCAGGGGAGCAAGGACAGCACCAGCAGTGCCACATGGATACTCAAGAAACCATGCACATGCAGGGATGACAGCTCTGATCCACACAAGTGCCCTGCAAAAAGCGGAGGGCCCCGGAGTGAGGTTGGCAAGGCTGGACTGCTGGGTCCTGCAGGGACTCCTGCCCCACTCTGCCCCCAGGGTTGCAGGGATGGGCTGGGGATGTGGACTCCTGCAGATGTGGGGATACAGACTGGGGCAAGCTCCCCCTGAGCCTGCCCACCTCCTTTGGCCCCCTGCTGACTGCACAGGGAAGCAGCCAGGTCCTGCAGCAGCTGGAGACAGAGTCTGACAGTTCATGTGACCAACAGGGTTGGCAGGGGTCCGGGGGGCTCAAAGCCCAGTGCCCTCCTGCATGGCATGGATGGAATCAGGGAATTGGTGCTACAAAGCTGGGGGCTCATGGCCAGCAGCTCTGCAATGCTCATTTCTCAGCCTAACACTGGAGAGCATGGGGAGGATGAGCCTTGCAAGCCCAGAGGTGTTCTGCTATGGTGTTACCCCTCTCCAAGCACTGGCCCCCACCAGGCTCCCTTCTGCCCCTGTCCCATGCCCGTGACATGCCAGCCTGGCCACATTGCCTAAAGCTGCTGCTTCTCCTTCCCACCTGTGCCATGCCTGGAACAGACCAGGCAGCTGCCAGCATTGCTGCCAGCCTCGCACCCCTCTGCTCCTGGAGTGACCAGCTCGGAGCCTCCCACCCCACAGAGCAATGCAGGGTGCTGGCGCAGTCTAGCCCTTAGAGTGGGGCAAGGCTCTGTGAATCCCCCACATCTGTCTGCCAAGGCAGACAGGATGGGTCATCAATGCCACCGTGCCATGGCCACCCTCGCCTGCCTGCCATGGGCAGGGCCTGGTGCCACATGAGAGCCACAGCCATGCGGGGCACAGCCATGCAGAGCGGAGCATGCAGCACCGGTGAGGGCTCGGCGGAGCTTTACCTGCCACTGGTGTCTCCTCAGGCCGAGGCAGCATGGTGGGCAAGAAGGGGGTTGAGCAGAGACACTGGAGCACATGCCCAGCTGAAGGGCCAGTGCTGCGGACTGGCAGCACACATGGGGCGGCCTGGCAGGACCATCAAGACTGGCGGCACCCCGAGCTCACCCAGCAGGGCCCGGTGCTTCAAGGGAAGATGGACCACCTGCATGGCAGCCACCTGCTGCCCTCCTCCAGAGGCCATCACTGCACCTCCTGCCCTGGGCATGCAGCAGGCCCTGGCTCTGGGGGGCAGGGTGGGTAGCTCTGGCCCTGGGGAGCCCAGCTCAGCCCCAATGGGAGCCATGTTGGCCCCAGATGCAGTTTCTCCCCTCAGCAACCCCCCAGGCAGGGGACCGCCAGCAGCTCCATCCCCCTCCAGCCTCCTGAGGTGAGCAGGCCACTGGACCGTGGTGTCTCCCTACCTGGCTCTCCACCAGCATGGCCATGTCCATGAACATATCATGCAGCTCTCGGATGCTGTTCTCCAGTTTGATGATCTCGCTGTGCCGTGTCTCAATCTCATTCAGTGCCTGCTTGGTGATGTTTGAATCCATAATGATCTGCAAGAAAACAGGGCAACTGAGCACCATGCTCAGCTCCCCATATGGCAGGATTAAGAGCACCAAGAGAGGGAAGAGCAGGAGCCCCTCCAGCCACACCAGACAGGCAGTTTACAGCAAAACCCCACGCCACCCTCCAGCCAGGGCACAGCCCCTGCTCAGGCAGCATCCTCAGGCCAGACCTGAGCACCTAGATCCCACCTCCTGCATGGGCTGTGCTCATCACTCCTGTACTGGGGCTGCTGTGGCAGCACATCCACCAGGGCAGCACATCCGCCAGCCAGCGCCCCTGGGATGAGGGGGCTGGCTTGGCTTTTGCTCTTGCAGGGCTTGGACCAGGGTTGATTTGCAGTGCTCACCCCGGAGGAGAAAATAGCTGGGTTTCCGCTCTCCAGCATGTCCTCCAGCTCCTCGCTGGTGGTCGTCCTGCCAGCTGCAAGTGACACAAGACAGGTCAGCTGTGAGCCCTCTGTCCCAGCCACGGGTCCTGCAGCCCTCCCGCAGGGCTCTGCTGGCTCCATGGCATCTCCCAAGAGTGGAGCGCAGCAAAGCCTCCAGCCCCGACAGCACACTGGGCAGTTTGAGGGGATGCCATCCCACAGTTGGGCTCTGTGCCAGCCCTGTGACCACTCTTTTTAAGGGGGTCAAGCTGCCAGCTTGGACCAGCTCCCCTGCCCCCCATCTGTCCCTCCTGGTCAAGCTGCTCATTCCTGTGGGGCAGGACCCCATCCTGGGCCAGTTCAAGGCCATGAGGACACTGGGCTCAGCAGGGCTCGCTGGCCTGGTAGGCATTGCTGCAGTCGCTGGGCTGCCTGAGTTTTAGCCCTGCAGCTGCGTAACAGAAACCAGGCTCCATCCTTCCCCCTGTGACACAGCCCTCCTTGGCCTCAGGGTGGTACCTTCAGCCCCGCAGCTCCTTCGGGAGCAATTCACCCATTGTGCATGGCTGCCTTCCCCTCCCCATATTCCTGCTACAGAGGAGAGATTAATCACTCTGTGGGTTACACTGATCCTCCACCATTAATTGCAGTGTGTTCTTCACCTAACAGCTAGGTAGGACCCATGAAATTACAGTGCTAAACAGAGATGATGGCACTGGGCAGGCTTTCGCTGGGGATGCCCAGTGGGAGCAGGGAGGGGGAGTGGGAGCAGGTCACAACTGTGGAGAGGGCAGGAGACATTCTACCAGTGTGATCAGGAGTGAACGGGGGTAGATAGGCAGGAGCAGCTAACAAAGCAACTTTACCAAGTCTGACGACCCCAAAACCAGCAGGCAGGGAAGGACTGGGGTCTGGTATGGTGCTCCCCCGCAACATGCCACCCACAGGCTCTGTCAGTGGTATTGAAAAGCACAGTAACATCCTCCAGGATGTCCTGGGCACCTCTGAATGGGGGAATGGAGGAGATGTGGCAGAACGCAGGGTCAAGCCCACAGGACAGTGCTCCCTGCTTCCAGCAGTGCCGCACCAGGTGGTTAGAAAAGGCAAGTGCCCGAAACCTTGAATCCAGTCCAGACCTTCACAACAAGTGTGTCAGTGTCCCAGGGATCACTGTGGGGAGCCCTGCCCACCCAGCCATGCCTGGCCACCACCCCACAAGCATGGTGTGTGCTGCCACCCTGCCTGGGGAGTTCCTCCAAGAAGGACACCTCCACACTTCATTACATGGCTCTTTCTTTGAAGGTCCTGCACCTGGGTTGGAGTACCAGCACAGACTGGGGGATGGATGGATGGAAAGCAGCCCTGCAGAGAAGGACTGGGGGATACTGGTGGGTGACAAATGGGACATCAACCAGCAATGTGGGCTTGCAGCCCAGAAAGCCAAGTGTCTCCTGGGCTGCATCACCAGCAGTGTGGCCAGCAGGTCGAGGGAGGAGATGCTCCCTGTGTGGTCCACTCTCCTTAGACCCCCCTGGAGCACTGTGTCCAGCTCTGAGGTCCCCAGCACAAGATGACAGTTTTAAACTGAACAAGGCTGGGGTTAGATTGGACATAAGGAAGAAATGTTGCACACTGAGGGTAGTGAGACACTGGCACAGGTTGCCCAGAGAAGCTGTGGATGTTCCATCCACAGCTGGAAGTGTTCAAGGTCAGGATGGATGGGGGCTTGAGCAACCTGATCTAGTGGAAGATGTCCCTGCCCCTGGCAGGGGGTTTGGACTGGATGGTCTTTGAAAGTCCCATCCAACCCAAACTACTCTGAGTTCCTATGATTCTCTTGCCGTGAGATGCAGAAATGAGAAGACCACCCAGAACTCCTGTGCTCTGCTCCTTGCTGGGGCCCCCCATGCATGGGCACCCTGACTGTCCATGATGGGAAACCGTGTTTCTGGCTTCGCCTCGGGAAAACAATGCCATATCAGCAGATATTGGTGGTGATGGCAGCCAGGAACATGCGGGAGCTTGCAGGCTCTGGGCAGTGTTACCAGCACCACGTGGAGATTGTTTGCTGTCTCCCAGCACCAGAAGGCTGCATGAAGGGAAAGGGAATAAATCCAACCACACACACTCAATGAGCAGGACACTCCAGTACAAAGGCTTTGTTATCTGCTAACGCAAATCAGCTCTGATTTCCCACCAGACCAACAGGTTTTACATCCATGGCTGGGCCAGGAATGTGTCGCCTCCTTATCAAAAGCAGGTAAGAAAGCTTTCTGTATGCTTTCTGGGCCACATGATAAACAGCGCACCAAGACCAGGAAGGGTGGCAGGGTGCAGAAACATGCTGGGGTCCCTTGCAAACACTGTCTGGGACCTGGAGCTCTGGGAGGCTGGAAGGCACACTCTGATATGTGTAGCGGGCACCTAGGATCGTTCCCCTGATCTGCCTCATGCCTGCATGTCTTCACCCAGAAGTGAAAGTGTTGCATGGCTCCTTTCTGCCTGCACCAGATTTGTTTCTTCTTCTGGGAACACAGGCAAGGAAGCAAGGAGTGGGCTGAAGGGACAGCAACTAAAGGGAGAAGCTCTCCCAAAGGTCTCCAAGGAGCAGGACTCGCTAGAGGTCTGTGACAGTGCCCTGAGCACAGGGGACACAGCCTACATACAGAGTTGTGAAGGGGCCTGGCACCCGAGAGGTGATGTCTGAAGCCTGTGTCATCCCAGCTGCATTGGGCAGGGCTGGATCCAGTGCAGCAGTTCCACCAGCACCTGCAACAGCTCATCCACAGTAACCAGCACAGACAGGACATCGCAGGAGAGAGCAGGAGCTGAGACCTGCAGACAGGAGTTCATGGGACTTCTGAAAGCAACATGGACCTGTGACCAATAGGTGGCACAAGAGAAGGAGATATTTGCTGGGGTCTCCGAAAAACAGTTACAGTTGGAAGAGAAATAGAAAATAAAAAAAGAACAAGAGAAAAAATAGTGGCCAGGAAAGAAAAATGGAAATTCCTTAAAACAAGATTTTTCTTTTATTGGTTTTCTTGAAATGAAACACTTCCTCTGCAAGTTAACTGCCTACGACCAGGAAGGAATTCCTCTATTATTTATGTGACTAATATATCATAATCTAAAAAGCTAATGGGATTTTTATTAAAATAACTGATAGTAACGGCTCAGTGACACTGCGACCATGGCCCAGCTGGCTCTCGCAGCAGGGATCCAGGGCACAGACCCTACAGGAGCTGGCATTGTTCCTAGCACACCCAGGGCTGTCTGACGGGAGCTTGGGACAGACAGCCTGGGATGCATGGGAAGAGAGCAACATGGGATGAGCTCGGTCCTGCTGTGTCTGGACACTGAGCTTTCAAGGTAACAGGACAGCTCCTGGGCCAGTGGTCCAGGTCATGGCAAGCTGTGGTGCTGTGTGGGAACTGGAGCACCCAGACCTCCCTGAGACCACACACTCAACAGGGAAAGCAAAGAGATGCACAGAATGGTGTCCCAGACAGTGTGGGGAGAGCACTAGGGCAGCACTGCCAAATGTCCTGGCCTCAGGCTCTCCCAGCAGCAGTTTCTACTGCTGTAGCTCTTGGGGGACAAGCAAGTTGCCTTCAACAGACATGAGGAGCCTCAAATGAGCCCTGCTCCTCCTCTGGTACCAGGGGCTGGAGGGAGGGACTCAGCTGAGTGGCTCAGCAGGGAGCCCAACCCACAGCTCATCGCCTCTCTTCTGCAAATGGAGTACATCTTCAAATCCAGCTGCATACTGCAGGAAGACCAAATAATGAACAGAGCAGACCTTAAGAATGTCTTTAAAAAGTACAATAAAGCTTATAAAAAGGAACAAAAGGGACTTGCCCAACACAGCAGAGAGATGATCCATGTGTGAGACATTAGCACCAAGAACTAGAGAGGGAGAGGAACCACAACCTGCTCCTCCGTGCTTGGTCTGCAGCCCCAAAGAGAAGCAGCTGGAGCCAGATGAGAGGGACTCCTGCCCCACAGCAGAAGCCATCACTTTGCAGAGCAGGAGTGGGGATCCTCTGGGGTTGGGGGGGGAGCGCTGAGCCAGTGTGTCCCTAGCACATGCAGGGCCCTCACCAAGCCGGCACCCATCCCGCAGCACGTGAGCAGGGTGCTGAGAATGGCGTGCAGCAGCAGGGCCAGACAACACAAGCTGTAAAATCAGGTCTGGAGTAGCTCCAAAGAGTCCAAACAAGAGCAACAGGAGATGGGGCTGGAGACAGGACTGGAGACAAAGCTACAACGTAGGGCTGGGGTCCTTCCAGGACACATGGCTAGAAAAAGACTGGGGACACTGGCACAGGTTGCCCAGAGAAGCTGTGGATATCGCATCCCTGGAAGTGTTCAAGGTCAGGTTGGACAGGCTTTGAGCAACCTGATCTAGTGGAAGATGTCCCTGCCCACAGCAGGGGGGTGGACTAGATGATCTTTGAAGGTCACTTCTAATCCAAATCACTCTGAGAGTCCATGATCCTATGACATGACTACAACAAAGATCCAAAGTCCAAGGGACAGGGCTGGAGACAAGCTATCTTGAACGTAGATCTGAGCCCACCCCAGGAACCAGGCCAGAGTCAGGGCTGAAGAGAGGTACCTCTACAGCACAGCTCAGATATGGGCTGGGTGGCTGAGGCCTGATCTTACACAGCTCCTGAACCCACAAGCAGAGGTAGAAGTCCCATGTGAGGCTGGTCTAGATAACTAAGACTTGTTAGTGCCCCCAAAGCCCTGAGAAGCTGCTGGTTTGCAGCAAAAGAACAACCTGACCCCTGTCTGTACCCTGTGTGAGCTGAGTGCAGCCTGCTCATAGCTGCAGATGAGGGCTGAGCTCTGCCATCTGTGCACTCATGGGTCTAAGGAGCTGCGTAATGCCAATGTCCACTTGGGTTGATCACCCTCCCCACCTTCCCCAGCTCCAGGAAAGGCCCATAGCCTGTTTCCAGCCACTGTTACATGTTTTAGGATGACAGAACATCACTCCCACCAAGGGTGACCAGCGACACCTACGTGCCAGCTCTTCCTGACTGTTGGCTCCTCACTCTCAGCTGAAAGTGCCCTGGTCCCAGGGAGAGAGAACACGGGCTTGAACAGCACAAATTTACAAACCCTCCTGTTGACTGTGCTCAACTCCAAGCAGTCATTGGCACAGTGACAAGGAGGAGCATGCCAGGCGCAGTGCATCAAGGGTTACTTGCTCTGCCCAATTCAAGCACTAGAGACAGCCCCGAGAGCAAGCAGTGGGATCAGCTCCAGGAGATGCCATGTCTCCCACAGGCAGAGGTGGGATGGGATGCAGGATATACATTCTCGTCCCAGCTCTCACCACCTCCTCACTGCCCTGTTCCCCTATTGCAGAGCATGGGGCCAGTAAAAGCTATGACGAGGCTAAGGATGAGAGCAAAGACATCACATGAATTAACAACCGGACAGCCAGTGCAGGATTGGCAAAGGCCATTGCTAGTCAGGAAGAGTTTACTTTAATGCTGAGCCAAAGCATGAGGCCCAGAGGCTGCATCTCACCCATGCTTGTCCAGCACAACACTTGCCAAAGCTGTATAACCAACCTGCAGGACCCCAGAGGACTTCCCAGGGAGTCCACCACCTGCTGGCTAGGCTTCCTGGTTTGGAAAGGCTGTCATTAGCTCCTCAACAGCAATAAAATCAGATGAAAGTGTGCTAGATACTTGGTTGATCTGCTGCCCACATCACCACAGAGCTGCTGCACAGCCACAAATGGGAATGAAAGGACTGAGTCAATGCAAGGTGCCCACAAAGGGAGAAAAGCCTGGGGAGAAGCCCCTGCCCTGAAACTTGGTGAAACACTGGAAAATCATGAGAACTGGACCTCTGCCTCCCCAGAGAGCTCCAGAGTACATCTGCCTCTTACTTGGCATCTCTAGAAATTAAAGTTTCCTGGGGAGAAGCTCTACCAATGAGCAAAGCAGCACAGAGTATCGCTGGGAGCTGCAGCACAGAGAGAGAAGCAAACTCAGCCCTGAGCTGGCAAGAAGAGAACAGTGAGAGATAATGCACAGGTCATGGTGCAGCAGGGTCATCAGAAGCTCTGGGACAGGCAGAGACATGAAGCCACCGAGGAGACATTCCACCTCAAGGCCACTGCACAGTCCTTGGCCCTGCGATGCCCAGCTGGATGGAGTGACCATCCCCATCAACCAGCTCCCAGTGTATGGGGCAGAAGCAGCTCCATTGGGGAGTGCAGGACCCTGGAGAAGTTCCCAGGGAAGCCTCTGGTGCCACAGCTCACACCCATCACCCAGCTGATGCCAAACACCAGTTTGCCCAATTCTGTATGCCAGATGCTCTATACATAGGGAAGAGTTCAGGCACCTCAGGGCTGGAGAAGTCAAACATGCCATGGATGAATTAACTGTAATGGCTCAGCTGTGCTCCTTTGGCTTGCAGCATCCCTCCTCCTGGCAGCAGGGCTGCATGAGCACCCACAGAGCAACAGCTAGGGCTCAGGTTGGAAACACCAAGGACAAGGCACCTTTCCAAGGCTGGGATTCTCTTTCTGGACCTAGCTTTCAAGCTCTCATTAGATACAAATCCATACAGCTCATGGAGAGATGGATAACACTGCCCTGTCCACCCTTGCATGTATTAGTAACTGGTATGAGAGACCTGACCCACTTGGCTGTCCTGCAGCTCAGACAGGTCTAGCAACTGCCTGCAGTGGTGTCAGGAAGAGCAGACTTCAGCTATAAAAGCCTGCCCAGCACATCACAAACTGCCACCTGCCTCCATGTCCCTCAGGACCCCTTCTGCTCAGCCTGCAGGGGCCGCAGGGGCCAACTTCCAGCACTGTGCAGGCATTTTCACCCAACGAGATGCTTTTAGCTCTGATAAATCCCGTGGTCATTCTATTTAAATAAGCCTGTCTCAGCACCAGGAGCTCTGGGATGACCCAGGGCTGCCCAGAGGAGCCACCAGGGCTGGAGCAGCCCCCAGACTCTCCTGGCTCAAGGGCAGCTTGGGATGCATCCACAGCTTGCCTTTCTGCACATCAATTAACCTGGTCTCACACAGTGGGGCCGGGGCTGATTAATTCTCGCAGTGCCTTTGGAGACCGCAGATGCTTTATTTTTGGCTCCTCGGTCTCACACGTAACGAAACTGTTCATAAAAACAAGTAGCGTCTGTGCAGCACCTCCATGGCTTCAAAGCTGCACACCCACCACAGAGAGCTCCTCCAAGCCTCAAATCTAATTTCTCTGGGAGCAAAACATAATTAGATTTAAGATGTCATTTCTCATAATGAACAAAATGGAGAGGAAGAAAATGAAGGAGCAACACCTCCCACCACAGGCAGCATGGAAGTTTGTGTCTGGTGAGCACAGCTCCCAGCAGCAAATGTGGGGACAGTGCTGGGGGGAGGCATGGTCCAGCCAGAAGACAGCCATCTGTTCTGCCATCACCAACCCCAAGACACATCCTGTGATCCCTCCATGGCATCTGTGGTCTCAGTGTGTTTGTGAGCAGAGTGAGTGAGTTGTAGTGGGGGTGAGGGCAACGATCAAGGCTGGGGCAGAAGCAGTGTGAGAGAAGAGGACATCCACTTCATCACATCAGACAGGCTTCCGGGCTCAGCATGTGCCGGACAGGCAGGGGTGACAGCGAGGATCACTGAGGCACAGCCTCTGGCGCACACAGACACGGTGGTGCCTACACAAAGAGAACGAGCAGATCCTGAGAGGGCTGTGGGGAGCCCCAGGGGGAGGCTATGGCCTGGGGCAGTGATTCTACATCACCATTTCTTCTGCGACTGGCCCACTTCCAGAGCAAGAAGCAGATGCAGTTAGGACAGAAAAGCTCGCCAGGTGCTGGGGAGCCTCCCCAAAGCAGCTGAGAAGTCCCTCATCTCATAGTTTCAAAACTCAAGTGATTTACTGGCTTTGCTATCAGAGCTCCTGGCACTTTCCATCTTTGGATTCATCAGCTGAAAATGAGAGCTGAGGATTTTGTAGAGCTTTGTGCAGTCACCACATCCCAGCTGAGCTCTGTTCAAAAGAACCTGTTCAAGAGCCCCCAGAGCAGCAGGGACTGAATGTCCTGGCTGGGACACCCCAGGATAAACAGAGCCCTCTGCCCAGGAAGCAATCCTGATAAAACCTCAATAAGCTTGCTGCTTTTGATGAGCCCTTTTGCCAGAAGAGATTTTCCACTGTCCCAACAGAGGAACCCAGCTTTTGCAAAGGACTGTGCACTGTGTACCTTCCCAGCACAGAACCCATCCTGCATCTACATCTGCTCCACACCTCCACCCCAAAGGGAAAACAGGTCCCCCACTGTAACTAACTAGAACACCTCCTCTGCACCCAACCACTGCACCACGGTGAGTCCTGAGCAGCCTTTTCCTTGCACCCCATCAATGCTCTGTTGGGCACTGACAGCCTGGCAGGACAGACAGAGTGAAGACAAGTATAATTTAATATATCTGCATAATTTAAGCAAGGCATCAGAATCCTTCCAAAATCTGGGAGTAGAAAAAAACCAGGAAGGTCTGCAGACAATTAAGTACCTGGCTAAGTCCTTTTGAATCTTCTCCTCTCTTAGAAGTGAGGCATAGGGATACCTTAAATTCCTGTTTACCTCACAAGCCACCCCTGTGGGTATCACAGGGCTGGGTATCACCTACAGAATGACGTTAGCTGAGAAATGAGTCAGTCAGCTGGAGCACTGACACACTCATCATCCTGCTTTACATTAAATGCTAAGCTCTTGTTGAGCCTCATGTCAGTCAACCTTTCCATTCTGCCATGGATGCGAAACATTTCTATTATTATTATATATCATAAACACTAATCTTAACACAGGAGAGGCTTGCACAGCCAGGTCTCCTTCTAGCCCTCCACAGAAACTACCATACCCCACTAGTACCCATATTCCCAGGCATCTGCAGCTCATGAAGGACATTCCCACAGGTGACCATCAAGGACACCAGTCTGACTCAAAGATCTCCTTATTATTCATGCTGAGTTGTGACAGGGAAGAAAAGCACCCATTTGTTTGTGAGAAAGAAACTGAAAAAAAACCCCAAACCTGAACTAGGCTTCAGACTCTTTCCTTTCATGCACAAAAGCACATGATGTCTCTCTGACAATGAGATTATTTGCAAAAATCTCTTTTAATCTCCGCTTGCCCTGACTTCTTTCTCCCTTGCTTGCTTATTCCCCTAATTACAGTGGTGGTATGGTTCTTTGCTAGGAGAAGACCATGTTTCTCTAAAACTAACCAGGTATCACAAATTGCCCAGAAGAACCACCAGGAGAGCAGGTTTTGTGAACAGGCAGGACCAGACTTCTCCTAAGTGACGGGCTCTGGGTGATGTAGGGAAATTTTAGTGCTACAGTGGTGACAGCCTCAGAAGTGTCACCTGGGGCCCACCTTTGGCCAGAAGACACCGCTACTCTGCCAAGAGCCATCACAGTCCTGGATCCAGGGAGATGCCTGGGGCAGGCACCAAGGCTCATGATCCTCCTGCGGCAAGGGAAACCACTAGGAGCAGCAAGTGCCCCCATCTCAAGAGCTCACTTCTCTGGTCTTATATTTGGTTCAGTTCACCCATGATGAAAAGCACCCAGAGGAAAGGCAAGACAACACATGGGAGTCAGGAATTCCCACTAGCTTCTTTGAACTCAAAATTAGCTACAAACAAGGAAGAAATTTCTCTCCCTATGCTGTCTGCACTCTCTACACAGCGTTTAAGAAAATCTGAGGGGAGTTTTTGTGCTTTGTTGGATGCAGCTTGACACCGAAATGCAAGGTACCAGCACCTGTCTGTCCCCCAGCAGGGCCCATGTCCTGGGTGCTCCCACAGGTACATGCACAGCCCTTGTGCACCCCCAGGTTTTCATGGGGGAGCTCTGCACAGCTGTGGGAGCAGCTCTGATCTGGCAAGAGCCGGTGCAGGATGCGGCCCCACAGCGCACACAGCCTGGCTGCATTCCCCCTCCAGGTTTACTCACTGATCTCCAGCTGCCTCTGAATCCTGCCCTTGCAGCGCTCCCGGTAGTCGGTCTGCGTGGCGTTGTACTCAGACATAACCTCCACGAACTTGCGCGACAGTGTTGAGTGCTGCAGAGGGGAGAGGAAGAGAGAGCAGAGGTGAGGGTCCCACGTGAGGGAGAGACTTGCCACCCCTGAGCTGGGGGAAGGCTCAGCCATGAGCACCCCCACATACCTCTAGCAGCCCAAAAAGCATTTCTAGCCCAAAAGCTGCTCCGAGGAGTGTGACGAAGTGCAATGGGGGCAGCCGGGGACATGGCCCTGCTGGGGTGGACCAGATGTGCCCCTCACCCAAGCCCAGCCCAAGCACAGCCTTCAGCCCCCAGAGGACACCCTGGGGTGGTGGCAGACCCGTGGGTAATGGCTGGCAGCACCCTCCTGCACCACACCACAGCTTGTGCCCAAGCAGCCCAGAGCTGAGGCCATGACTGTGCCCTGCATCGAACCCTGCCTGCCTCTGCCATGCTGCCAGGATGTGCCAGACCTGGCATGGGAGCATGGGCATGGCTGGTAGGGGCGGGGCCAGGGCACACAGGCTGAGCCAAGGGGACAGGGGATGTCCAGCGTAATTGTCCCTGCTCCAGAAGCACGCTCTCACTTTTCCTTCCCACATTGGAGGGCTCCCCCAAGCACCAGCCCTACAGGGACGCAGGGGATGGCTGCTTGCCCCAAACTGAGTGGCTGTCTTCAGAGCTGCCAGTCCAGGGCAGATGGTGTGGCAGAACTGTCATCCCCCACATACAGAGCACCCTCATCTTATTAGGCTTATTCTCCAAGACATGCACCAGAAAACCTTGGAATTACACCTGACCAGGGTCCAGCAAACACACCCCCCCGCCCCAGTGCTGGCTGCTGCCCCCGAGGGGGAAGCTCACCCCTACGTGAGCACCCACACTGGGACCTGACTTGCTGTCTGATCTAGTTGCCAGGCTGAGCACAGCAAACAGCCCTGAAGATGTTCCAGAAGCTCAGGACAGAGCATCACATGCATCCTCCATCCAAATGCTTATATGTCTTGAATGCGCTCTTTCCCCAATATGCCAGAAATTGAGTTTCATAGGATCACAGACTCACAGAATGGTTTGGGCTGGAAGGGATCTTCAAAGATCATCCAGTCCAACCCCCCACTGCCGCGGGTAGGGACATCTTCCACTAGATCAGGTTGCCAGAATGTAAAAGCCTTTAGACTGCTCTTCGGGCTTGTGGAAGGCTTTGTTTGGAGGTAGTTTTCCTTGCAATTAAAAAAGGGGTGCATTTCCCTTGTCTTGTTCTTGGGGATGGTTGAGTTTTTTATAAAGGCACAGAAAAATCCACCCTGCAGCTGGGAGCTTCACTCTGACTGATGGCACTTGTACAACGTGAGGAACTGCCAGCAGCAGAACATGGGACTCAGCTGTGACCACCAAGGGGGGCCAGAGCAGCAGCTCTGCTAGTGCCAGCTGCCCTCACACCACTCTGAGCTCCTCACCCTCCATGGTGGACAGCAGTGTGCTCCTGTCATGTCCACTGAACCAGGTGGAAAATGCTGGCAAGGGGGTGTCATGGGTTGCCCTTGGTGGAAGTGAAGCTCTGTCACCCTAAAACATGTAACAGTGGCTGGAAACAGGCTATGGGCCCTTCCCAGAGCTGGGGAAGGTGAGGAGGCTGATCAGCCCAAGGGAACATTGGCATTATGCAGCTCCTTAGACCCATGAGTGCACAGATGGCAGAGCTCAGCCCTCACCTGCAGCTATGAGCTCACAAGGGGTACAGACAGGGGTCAGGTTGTTCTTTTGCTGCAAACCAGCAGCTTCTCAGGGCTTTAGGGGTACTCTTATCACAGAATTATGGACTCACAGAGTGGTTTGGGTTGAAAAGGATCTTCAAAGATCACCCAGTCCAAACCCCCTGCCAGGGACAGGGACATCTTCCACTAGATAAGATTGCTCAAAGCCTGTCCAACCTGACCTTGAACACTTCCAGAGATGGGGCATCCACAGCTTCTCTGGGCAACCTGTGCCAGCGTCTCACCACCCTCATCATAAAACATTTCTTCCTTATGCCCAACCTAACCCCACTCTCATTCAGTTTAAAACCATTGCCCCTTGTCCTGTCACTGCAGGCTCTGGTCAAAAGTCTTTCTCCCTCTTTTCTATAAGCTGCCTTTAAATTTTGAGCTGCTGCAGTAAGGTCTCCCTGGAGCCGTGTCTTCTCCAGGCTGCAAAACCCCAAACTGTCACAGCCTTTCTCCATAGCAGAGGTGTTCCAGCCCTCGGTGGCCTCATCTGGACCTGCTTGCAGGTCCATGTCTGTCTTGTGCTGGGGACCTCAGAGCTGGACACAGTGCTCCGGGGGGGTCTCAGGAGAGCAGAGCAGAGGGGAAGCATTTCCTCCCTCGACCTGTTGGCCACACTGCTGGTGGTGCAGCCCAGCAGACGCTTGGCTTTCTGGGCTGCAAGCCCACATTGCTGGCTCATGTTCCATTTGTCACCCACCAGTATCCACCAAGCCCTTCTTTGCAGGGCTGAAAGCTTCCCTTTCCAGAGAAGACAAATCTGGTGCATGATTTCTCAAGAAAAGCCAAATCCGATATTGTGTCAAGCAAGAAATGCTTCTGCGCTTCTTCAACTGTGCAGCAGAAGCAACAGCATGTGACTGATGGGCCACATCTCACACACCCATCCTGGGCACTCAGCATCACTCTCACATGCAACAGGCACCTGCAAGGCAGGACCAGACGACGGTACTGCTGCAGGGGGAAGACAGGTGTGTTACCCAACCTCACCCCATGGATTGCTTGTGCAACCCAACCCAGGGAGAGGGGAGCAACAGGAGATATGGGGAAATGGTGGAAGGTGAAAGGAGAGGAGGCGATGGAAAAAGGATAGGAAAAGAGGACACTCAGGAAGGATCGGAAAGAAGATACAGAGGGACTGACGCAATGAAGAAACTCCCGATGAGTGTTCCCCCTGGGACTTTCAGGGCCATCAGCATGGCCTGAGCTCACCCTTAGAGAGTTACAGCTCACAGAAAGCTGAACTGAAGGGCTGTACCCAGCCCTGCTGAGCTGGAGCAGCTCTCAAAGCCTCTGTGCTGGGGGGGAACCGGTGCAACACAGCATCTCTGCAGGGTCAGATGTGGCTGGTGCACACTGGTGCTCAGACACTTCTACCGGGTGTTGGTACACCCAGAGCAGCCCCAGCCAACACACCCCTACCTCCAGGAGGCGGCACTTGGAAACATCTTGAAGTTATACTTGCATTTGCTTTGCAGCTATTCTAAGCAAGCAGCAAATCAGTATTTATGGCAGCGTCTCAGACTCAGCTCATCTTATTGCTCCTCTGTTGGCAATCCTCACATGAAAGCCCCCTGGCAGCTTCAGCAGGCAGCCTGGCCCAGCCCAAAGCAAGGTCAAAACAGCTCCTGAGCATCAAGGCTTGAAATCCGGCAAAGATGTGATATGCCATTCAAGCAACTCTTCTTCTGCCTTTTAAAAATTGTTTTCCTAAAATCCACTTCATTCTCATTCAGCTGAAAAGTATCAACATATGTTGTTCTGCAGCCAAATATAGCCTGGGTGTTGAATGACGCCCCTTTCTGCTAATCAGTATACCACACCATACCTCTTTTATTTCAGAAGTTATTTAATTTAGTTATTAACTAAATAATGTTAGATTGTTATTTTATGTTCCCACGGGCATCCCACATGTCTACAAAACGCATTTGATTTTTGAAGGAACACAGAGTTTCACGCAAAATGGGCTGGAAAAGCATTTTAAATGGCTTTCAGTCATTAAAAAACTACCTGAATATTCAGAGTAAATAAAAAGCTTATCAAAATGTACCTTGCATTTGAAAGAAACTCATTAAAAAGCAAATATTAACTAAAGTTTGGAAATGGGGATGTTTTAGCCAGGGCCAGCAACTCTTCACTCCTTAAATGTGGGGAAAGCAGCCCAATTTGCTGAACCACCAAGCTGGATTTCCAAAGAGCTCACACAGCTCTGGGTACCCACAGGGGACTTTGAAACCCCCACAAAGCATACACTGAAATCTGGGACCTTGGCCTTCAATGTTTTTAATTAAGAGAAAGACACTTCTGAAGTGCTCATCCCATGGGGGTGCCCAGGGGGATGCCAGCCTTCTTCCTGAGCCTGTCGGGGCTACAGGGGGAGCAGAGATCCCACTCCTGAGTTCCCACCAGCTGGGTTTGTTTCAGTGTTTGAACTAGTCTGAGTGCAGTGCGTATTTCCACCGCATCAGCTAGATAAACCAAGCCCAAAAGCAACTAGAGCAAAAGCTATTCTGAATAACAAGGGCCAAAAGTACTGACATTTGGAAGAATGTTAATAGCAGCTTTTGCTCTGTTATGAACTCAAAATTTGACACATATAGAAACACAGAAAATACTGTTGAGACATCTGGGAACCTGCATCACTGGCAACATTTCTAGGCTGGGAATGCCCTTGGGAGCTGCGACCCCAAAGCCCCCCATATGTTTCTGCTGCTAGTGAGCTGACCAAGGCCCCATATGTTTCTGCTGCTAGTGAGCTGACCAAGGCAGGGTGCTTTATTCAAACTGCTGCTGTGAAATGGTGGGAAACAGAATGGTTTTAACGTAATGAATTTAGAACATGAAACCAATTTTTCCTCGGTGCAGAAGCAGTCCAGGAGCCAGGCTGTCCCTGGGACCAGCTTGCAGGTCATGGAGTTTGGGACAGCCACCGACTGATGGACTTGAGCTCCTGCACAGACCAAGCTGGGACACAGGGAATTCCAGTTAAATATTAAGGGGGAAAAAATCATCATAAGTGGTGAAACACTGGACTGGGGCCCAGAGGACCCATGGATCGATGCCCTGATGTCTGCATCCTTCTAGATACTGAGAATGCAGCTGGACAAGGCCATGAGCAATCTGATGTGGCTGGAACTGTTCTGTGGTGGGGGCTGGGATCTCCTGAGCTCCCTTCTCTCCAATGTGCTGTGATCCCACAACGAGGAACAAACGTGGTTGCCAGATTTGTAGTTGGGCCGTTGCTTGTCCCTGGATGACCAGGAGTCCAAGGGGGACACCCATGCTACAAACACAG